CCGGGGCGGTGGTGGCCGCTGAGCAGCAGGAACGCGAATATGATCGGAGCCGGTTCGGCGAGGTTCTCATTGAGGCGCCCGTTGGCTCCCTCGTCCATCTCGCCGGCCTCCCCGGCGTGGCCGTCCCCCCCCCCCCCCCCCCGGCCGCCCCCCCCCTCACGCCGCCGCTGCTGCTCCTGCTGCCATAAACAAGACGACCAGCGACACACCACCGATAGGCAAGCTCGTCACGCTCTTCCGGCTCAAGCAAGGCGACTTCTCCGGCTCCGCGGCGGGCTGCGACATGTCCACCTCGCTGCTCGAGGCAATCACCAAGCTCTGGCTCTCCTCCCCCGCCGACGACCTCTCGGCCGAGCCATCCTTGCTGAGACGGGCGACCGAGGCGAGGAGCAGCGACGGCAGCGAGCCCTCCTCCTCGAGGGGCCACCAGCACTCGCTCGGCAACACGCTCGGCAACTCGCGCAACAACTCGTGGACCAGCATGGACCAGTTCAACCCGAACCGGATGCGCTCGCGCCGCAAGCGTGCCATCCTGCTGGCGGTGCGTTGGGACCGGCGACCGCTCTCTGCAACGAGTCCGCCCCCATCCCCGCCGCCGGCGCTTGCTGAGCCTCCCTTCCGCCCGCGGCGTAGGCCCGACATCCTCGAGCGGATCCTGCAGCAGCAGCGGGAGACGGCGGGCGAGAGTTGCTGGAGCGAGGCGCACACCGCGGCGCTGCAGTTTGCCCTCTCCCTCCACAAGCCAGGCGTGATCAAGCACCTCCTCGAGGCGTCGCAGCAGACCATCTCGCTCAAGGACGTCAACCTCCTGGATCTCTACGGCAACGTCGACGGGCTCGGCTACCTCGCCTCGCAGCCCGCGCTGCAGAAGGTCCTCGTCAGCTCGCTCACCGCGCCCCCGCCCGCCCGGGCTTCCATCCAGGGCAAGAAGGCGTGCTCGCGGCCGCACGACACGTACAAGGATTCTATCGCGCCGTGGCTGGGGTCCACTTTCGCCATCGAGCTGCAGCGCGACGCGGACCTGTCCAGCGAGCCCACGTACGCGCAGCTCTTTTACTGGGCGGTCCTCTCCGGCGACTGGGCGATGGCGCGCCTCTTTTGGAGCCGCTGCTCGGACCCGACTCGGACGGCGCTCGTCGGGTCGCACATCTGCCGCCGCATGGTGGCGCACGGCGTGTCGCAGGCGAGCTTGGTCCGAGAGCACGCCACCAAGCTCGAGGAGATGGCCATCGGCATCATCGACGCCGCCGAGACGCCGGCGGAGGCGGCGGCGGTGCTCGCGCACAAGGACGGCAAGATGTCGGTCCTCGACCTCGCGCTCAAGTTCGAGATGAAGCGCTTCCTCACCAACCCAAACTGCCGCGCCATCATGGACAAGTGGTGGTCCAGCGGCGACAGCGGCGGCGGCGGCGGCGGCGGCGGCGGCGGCGTCTCTCCTGCTACGGAGGTTGGCTCGCTGCGGCTGCTGATGCACGCCGTGCTGCCCTTCACCAACCCGTACTACATCGCGATGGCCCGCGAGGCGGTCGCCTCGTGCCTGGGCCGCCGCGGCCCCAACGAGTCCGGGCCCACGCTGCACAGCGGGTTGACGAGGGAGGCATCGGCTCTCCTCAACAGGGCGCGGGCGACCATCGCAGGCATGGACTCGATGAGGATCGGGCAGGCGGAGCGCGAGCATGCCCTCAAAGACCCGCCCCTGACCGCGTCGCCGACAGCCGGCTCCCGCAAGTTTACGACGATAAGCGGGGCCGTGCAGGCCGTGCAGGTCGCGGCGCGCTTCTCCAACTCGACCGAGCGGAGCGCGAGCAAGGAGGAGGATGCCAAAGAGGCAGCCGTCATGGCGTCACCGACCTCCTTCTTGGCCGCCACGCCAGCCGCTCTCGCCGGCACGAAGCCGCTGGGCCGACCTTTGGTTCGGACGAGTTGTGGCGCCTCTGCCACCCCAGGTGGCCCCTCGAGCGAGCGATCGCGAGCAATCATCGCGACGCAACGGAACCTCCGAGACCGGGCACACGACAAGCGTAGCGAGGCGAAGCGGACGCAGGAAAACGGCTTCTACTCGGTCCCGGGCGTCGTGTCCATCCTTCGGCTCGCCTCGCACATCGCTTTCCTCGCGCTATACGCGCACACGCTCTCCCAGCTCGACCCGTCGGGAGGGGCTCTGGGCGGAGGGGCTGAGCAGAGGCCGCCGCTCTCCCGCAGCGAGGCGAGCTTCCTGCTGTGGGCCGTCTCCATCACGCTCGACGACGTCGTCAACGACTTTGACCCGGACCTCGAGAACATGGTGCCCCTCGTGTGCTACACACACACACACACACACACGCACACTTCTCTCGCGTACACAGGATAGCACAACGTCTCCGCTGTCCTCGCGCCGCAGGAGCCCGCCAGCGGCACCACCGCGAAGATCGGCGACGCGCTGCTCTTCGTCGCCGTGCTCGCCCGCGCTGGGCCCGGCCCGTGGTCTACCTCGCGCTACGAGGTCTACGCCGCGCTCCTCTCGGTCACCGTCATCCCCGTCACGCTCCGGCTCGCACAGCTCTCTGGGGCTGGCTGCGCGCAGCGAGAGCCGCCCTCTCACCCACGGCCGTGTGCGTTTGCCCGCAGGCTCGTCGAGTACCGCGCCGCTCTCTCGCCCGAGATCGGCGTCCTCTTCATCATCATCAAGAAGATGTCTGCCGACCTGCTCGTCTTCGCCGAGATCTTCACCGTCGTCCTCGTCGGCTTCGCTCTCGCCTTCGTCGGCGTCTTCCAGATGCACCCGCCCGCCGACGCCGGCCGGCGATCCCTCGGCATGGCGAGCTCCGACGAGCTGCTCTTCGGCGCCTCGGAGCTCGACGACGTCTTCGGCCCAAAATCGCCGATCATGACCCCCTTCTGGCGGGCCCCGCTCTTGCCTCCGCCCCTCCGCCTCGGCCACCCCCCGACCCGCCACCCCGTTCCTCCGCAGGGCCGTCTTTGGCGCCTTCGAGGTGGACGACCTCATCGACGTGCCGGCGATGTACCCCTTCCTCCTCTGGACGTATGTGAGCGCGAGCTGTTTGCGCGGGCGGCCGGCCGCGAGACCCGCAGCTCACAGAAGGCCGCTTCCCGCCCCCGTCAGGTGCTCGTCAGCTCGGTCGTCATGGTCAACCTGCTCGTCGCTATGTTCTCCGACACGTACACAAAGGCCGCGCGCCGTCGCCCGTGCGCGGCGCCGAGTCCGGTACGCTAGCCTCAGGCTCGTGTGTCTCAACAGGTCTTCTCGGGGGCCGAGGAGGAGTTCCGCTACCAGCGCTACCAGCGCATCTTCCTCTGCAAGCACGTCTTCAACCCGATCCCGCCCCCCTTCAACATGCCCATCCACGTCTTCGCCACGCTGCGCCTGTGCTCGGGCCTCCTCTCGCGCGCATGCTCGGGCCTACTCCCGCGCAGCGAGCAAGCGACCTCCCGCGACTTGGAGATCGCCACCCCGGAACCCTCTCTCTCTCTTCGACGCTCGAGCGTCTCGCAGCACGCGTGGTACGGGACAGATGCGGACGGGGGCCTAGACCAGGCCCCCCTGCCCGCCGAGGCCAAGCGGCTGCAGAAGCGCTTCTCGGACGGCGAGGCCGCCAAGCGGAGGTGTGCTGCCCCATCTTCCCGTGTTGAGGCCCCGCCCTTCCTCCAGCCTGCGCACATCTCTCCCTCGCCGCCCTATCGGCGCAGGCAAGACGACCTGCTCACCGAGATCCGCGCCGTGGTGCAAAGCGGCACCGCGGAGCAGCGCCGCCGGCTGGAGGCGCCGCCCGCGGCCTGGCCACCAGTAGCCATCTCTCAGCGAGGGAGGGCCGAGGCTGCGGCCTCGCTAGCCGCCTCGCTCGCGCCTGCTCACCTCCACTCGCGGCCCGCGCAACCAGGCGCTCGGCGACCAGATCCGGGGCACGCAGCAGTCGCACGCGGAGGACCTCCGGCGCATCAAGAACGAGCTGCGCGGCGAAGAAAGCGGTCTCGCCGGCAGCAGTGATCGTCGCAGCAACTGCAGTGTTAGCAGCGACATCACCCCGCCGCTGCCTTCGCCAAAAACGCCCGCTACATTTCCCGCTCCGAGCCCCCTCTCTGAGCGTCTCGCGTTGCCAACGGCGGCCGGCTTGACGCTGGACCTGGCGTTGAAGGCGTCGCCAGTGAACTCACTCAGCGACCTGGGAGAGAAGAGCAACGACAGGCCGGATAGCGCCGCCGCCAGCTCGACCGCCAACCACGCTGCAGTCGACACCCCGGACGCGCCGCCGCTTCTAGCGGGCGACAACAGCCTCGAGACACGCCGGGCGAAGCACAAGCGAGGATTCTCTGCGAAGCTCAAGCTGGCCGGGCGGTAGTCACGCCGCGAGCTACCAGACGGACCGCCGCCTTAGGAGGGCGAGGTCGGGAGAACCCGAAAGGGCAGTGGGCGCGGCGCGCGGAGGCTCTCTTGGTACAGCTGTCGTGTGCCGCGGGAATGCCACGTGGGGCTGGGAAGGGGGGAGCGGGGATCGAGAGCGGGGAGGACAGCACGAACGCTAAGCTACGCGGCGGAGGGAGGAGGTGTCCCCTGTGTGTGTGCCATGTGCGTGTGCCAGGCGGCCGGCCATGCCGTCGGCGCACGCAAGAGAGAGAGAGAGAGAGAGAGAGAGAGAGAGAGAGAGAGAGAGAGCGAGAGAGAGAGAGAGAGAGAGAGAAAGAGAGAGAGAGAGAGAGAGAGAGAGAGAGAGAGAGAGAGAGAGAGAGAGAGAGAGACGTGTCCGGTCTCTATCACAGCGTCCAACGCGCGACCCTTCTCCCCTTCCTAGAAGATTAGTGGAAGCCGAGATATCTAGATATGTGTGTGTTGTGTCTCTGTCATTGGACATTGGTCGTGGTGACTGCAGTGTCAGTGTATGGCGTGTGCGCCATTATGATAGGAGGGGCACTGCGTCGACTGGGCATTTTACTTTTTTGAGTCTGACAGCCTCGGCGAGGTTTCGCGTTTTCACACCCAAAGGACGGACACTAAGTGAGGCGGGGGGGTCGCCCCGGTGCCCCCCGCGCGCTGGCCGTGCCAAGGTGGTGGAACAGGTAATAGGCAATACCAATAGCCAATAGGGGTGCGGGGGTCATGCTCATGGGACATGGGTAAGCGGCGCCCGGGGGGTACGCTTACGCCTTACGGACGCTTACGGGGGAAGGACCCTCAGTTGACCAGGGGTTGTGCGCCGGGCCCTCCTGCTCGGCGCCAGCGAGTAGACATGTTGTCATCAACACCTTGTCAACAGAGTAGACGGATCTGACCTCGGGGCCGATGTGACCAAGCGCTGGTAGCGTGGTATGGTCTCACAGTGTGCCGGCAGTCGCCGAGCACTGTCGCTCACACAAGCCGCAGCACAAGTGACTGCGGGCCGGTGAGGGCGAGCCCATCGCTGTGGCAGCTGTGGCAGCCCCGCACAGTAGGCTGTGCCAACTCGTGTGCAGAGCGTGTGAGTGAGCCAACAGACGGGAGCTGCTCTCCAGGCTTCAGGCGCATAGAGGTTAGAGCTGCATGCCACCGAAGGCGCTGTCGAGGTTCGCCGAGCGCGGCGCAGGTTCAGGGACACCGCCACTGCGCGTTGGACTTTTCACTCCGGACAAAGAGTTGTGTTGGTTGTTGGAGTTCCCCGCCACAGCACACACACTCTCGTGAACACCTCTGTAATGACTAATGTGTAAACATATACTACGAACTAGCAACTACGATCTACGTATACATTATCTAGTACTTTATTCGTCCAACGCGGCTCCCACTGATCATGTGGCGGGCCGTGGCGAGCCCCGCTTTCTTTGTGCACGCTCGATCGCCTCGCGCGCCTTGAAGAGACGCCGCTCGAGCTGCGTGAAGCCGTGGTGCTGCAGAAAGTCGCGCAAGTGGGGCAGCTCCGCCGGCGGCGCCGGCAGCGCGCCGCGCAGCTCCTCGGGGTCGACCCCGCCGACGGAGGCGTCGAGCTGGACCAGCTGGCGCGCGAGGCGTGCCTGTGGTGTTGGGCGACGGCTGGGGGTAGAAGGGCGGGTGTGAGGGCGGGTCGGAGGAAGCAGCGCGTCGGGCGGCGACGGCGGTGGCGTCTCGTCGCGGGCTGTGGGGGAGAGGAGGGGTGGCGAGGTGTCCTGCTCTGCGTGCGCGATGAGCGCGTCTCTCCGCTTCGACTTCTTCATCGACGGCGCGGCGGCGAGGACGGCGTCCAGCGTGCCGTGCTCGCCGAGCAGCTTTGCGGCCGTCTTTTGGCCGACTCCTGCGGAGGAGGGGCAGGGCTCTCCACGCCCCGCCTTGGGGCAGGGAGAGAGCCGCAGCGGCGAGCTGCAGAGCGCTGGGCGGGGCGCGCCTGGCACGCCGGGCACATTGTCGCTCGCGTCGCCAACCAGCGCGAGCAGGTCGACCAGCTGGTCCGGCCGGACGCCGTGCTTGGCTTGCACCGCGGCGGCATCGAGCAGCACCTTCTTGCGGTCGTCAAACACAGTCACGTTGGTGGCGTCCAGGGCGCCCGCGTCGCCGCCGCTGTCGCCGCTCACCAGCTGGAGCAGGTCCTTGTCCGAAGTGACGATCGACACCGCGGCCGCGCCCTCCGAGCGCGCGAGAGCGACCGCGCACGCGATAAGGTCGTCCGCCTCGACCCCAAAGCGGGAGATGGTCGGCACGCCGAGGCACTCGGCCGCCTCGCGGATGTGGCCCATCTGGGAGCGCAGCGCCGGAGGCATGGGCGCGCGCGTCTCTTTGTACTCTGGCAGCATCTCCACGCGCCGCGCCGGCGCTCCCTCGTCAAAGACGGCGAGCATGCGGTAGCCGGGAAAGACGTCGCGCAGCTGGACGAGCTTGTTGCAGAAGCCGAGCAGCGCCTGGGCGGGCTCGCCCTGGCGGGAGGTGAGCTCGGGCATCGCGAACTGCATCCGGTACGCCAGGTTGTGGCTGTCGATTACGCACAACCCAGACCGCCGGCTCGGGTCGGGCACAGCGCAGGCGGCGAGAGCGGATGCGCGGCGCGAGACGTGCTGCACGGCTCGTGGCGGACGCGAGGCGAGCGCGAGAGCCGCGAGCGTCAGCGACGACGACATGACATTTTTTGCTGGTGTGAATCACGCCCGCTGAAAGGCATTTTCATGCTCTATTGACTGGCGCAAAAATCCCCCGCCAACTGTTTTCACAGCGTTTGTGATGCTATGTCCGCGGGGAAAACAACAAATCGCTTCAACTGTGAGGCTACTGACTGCACTCCAAGTGCTCCAAGTGCTGTGTGTGTGTGATACTCACTCACTCCAAGTGCTGCAAGGCCTGCACGGCCAAGTGCTCCAAGTGCTCCAAGTGCTCCAAGTCAAGGTCGTCTCTCGCGGCTGGTGCGCTGCTTTAGCTCCCCGGCCCTGGATGTGAGGTGTTACCGACCGCACTCCAAGTGCTCCAACGGAACGTCCACGAGTGCGGTAGCGCGCCTCGCCGGCAAAATAATAGTACTCGTCCTCACAACACACAACACACAAGCACACTACTGCAATTCACCCTCATTTGTGTCGATTAGCAGTTCGAGCCCGCGGAGCTCACCCCGAGGTAGGTGGTGTGGTCGAGGACGGAGAGCTTGTAGCCCGGGACGCCGTCGTTGCAGGCGCCAGCGCCGGCGCAGACCTCCGCCTCGCCGCCTCCCGAGCCGGGCGTCAGCCAGACCTGCGTGCCGGCGTGCTGCCACTGCGACTGCGGCCCGGGCGGCATGTGCGGGATCGAGTCGTGCATGTTGGTCACGCGCCACAGCTTTAGGCCGCGCCGCGCGAGGGTGGCGTCCGCGCTCGCCGCAAAGGCAGGGTTGCCCACCCTCGGGCCCGCGAAGCTGTAGAGGAGGGGCGGCAGCGAGAGGGCGGAGAGGGAGCCGTCGGCCGCCCACTCGGCCGCCATCAGCGTCGCGAGCGAGGCGCCGCAGGAGTGGCCGGTGACGACCAGCCGGTACGTCGGGTGCTCGGCGAGGAGCGCCTCCACGCCCTGCCTCACGCGCCCCCGCAGCTGCACCCAGCTCTCGCCCCAGCCGTGGTGCACCCTCTCGCCGCACGACCCGCCCGCCACGTCGTCCTGCCACGTCTGGAAGTTGGTCGTCCAAGCCCCGAGGTCGAGGTCTCTCGTCCCGCGAAAGGCGACCACCACCCACCGCTCCTGGGGCAGCACGAGCAGCGCGGCGAGCTCCGGCCCGTCCTCGACAGGCGGCGCCTGGGTGGCGAAGCGGGCAACCTCGCCCACGAGCGAGGCCGCCTTCCAGTACGCCTCGCAGCTCGGCATCCCCGGGTTGCAGCTCGAGGCGAGGAGAGTCGTGTTGACCGGAGGCGGCGCCACGGCGTCGCAGCGGCCGCAGCTCCACGCCTGAACGCCGCTCACGCTGCACAGCATGGCCGCGTTGAGCTGCATCAGCAGCTTCGCCGCGCGCTGGTCGAAGGGAGGGCTCACCACGGCGGGAACCTCACCGGCGGGCGCGTGGCAGCCGTCGTCGAGCGGGAGCGAAATGGTGCGCGGGTCGCTGGGAAGTGGATCGGTGTGCAGGAGCGCCAATCTGACCGAGCGCGTGGCGGAGTCCAAAGCGCCGCCGAGGGCGTCAAAGATCAGTGCCCGGCGCGGCGCTCTGCCGCTGAGAGCGAGCCCACAGAGAGCCACCGACGTGGCGAGGAGCAGGAGCGTGCGGCGGCGGTGGTGGACACGAGGCGGCGAAATCATGCGAGGCGGAGCAGAGGTGGTGCGATCGAGCAGGCAGTGAACTAGCGGAGGCAGCAGCGGCAGCAGCGGCAGTGGCGGCTGGAGGCGGAGGCAGCAGCGACAGCAAGGGGGGGCAGGCCCTGGGGCTCCTGGCAACCCTGAGAGAGCTTGAGCGCTTGAGCACTTGAGCACTTGATAGGAGGGCGCCTGTGAACAGCCTGGGTCTAAATTTAGTGCGTGTGAATGAACTTTAGTGATAGTTTAGTGCGCTATTTAGTGCGTGTTCGAGTGCGTATATAGTGCGACTTTAACGCAAATTTAGCGCAAATTTAGCACATATTTAGCACATATTTAGCACATATTTAGTGTGTTTTATCTCCAATTAGCAATTTAGCGCCACATTTAGTTCACTTTAGGTGCGGGCAGCTGCAGTACATTTAGTGTGGGTCCCGCATCTTTAGTGCGGGCACGCACCTTTAGCACGGCTTCCCGGCCACACCACAGCTAGCCAGGGCCGCGTGCTTTGCTCCTTGGCTGCCAACCAAGAAAGAATGCACCGCAGGAGATGCCTGGCTGGCCCCTGCCCTCATGACCCAAAGGCAGGCTCCCAGTGAGGCTAGATATGCCGCCCTCCAGAGCAAGATCTCCCGACTGAGCACAGGCACAGCACCGATTCAGAGGAGGACCAGCACAGTTGAATGCGCCACCGCAAGCACCACCTCCGACCGCACAACCCATGCTGTGCCCGTGACCACCAGCTGTAATAGAGTAGAGGTGAGGGTCGGTCTTGGAATTTCAAAACCAATGTTGAACCAAAGGATGAAGGATCCAGACCACGATGACAGAAACGGCCAAATGGCCATGATCCATGTAGTCACCGCAAGCAGCTTTACATACGCGTGTACTCGTAGCATGTTGGATCCAGCCCCAGCCATGCACCTCCTCCTAAGTGCAATGGCAAATACACCGAGGAAGAAAATGCTCAATAGCTCGATGCCGATGCTATGCACTATACGCTCGAGGCACGGGAGGATGACTGCTTGCAGAATCACACTGTGCACGTGAGCATCAGAGTATGCCGGCCCTTCACGAAACTAAGGAGGATGCGCTTGGCAAACGTTTTGCCGCTCGGCGGGCCCGGAGAAGAGCCCGGAAAGCACCTTTTAGGCTGATATTCAGCTGAAGAACCTTCGCTCGGTTGGGGATGGGACGGGGAACTTTTGCGAGTGGGCAGGGAACTGCAGGGGGAGAGGGGGAGGGAGGCCCAGCGAGGGGCTGCGGCTGGATCCTACTGCGCGGCCGGACTAAAGACGCACTAAACCTCGCTAAATCTGGATGTAAAGTCGCGCTAAATTTGCGCTAAATTTGCGCTAAATTTGCACTAAAGTTGCGCTAAATTTGCACTAAATTCGCGCTAAAGTGCACTAAAGATGCAGTACATAAACACTTCACACCGCACTAAATTTAGACCCAGGCGCCCTCCTTGATAGGGTCGATTCCGCATGGTACGGGACCCTGGAGAGCTACCCAATGGGTGCCTGGAGAGGGGTACCCTGGGTGGGTGGGGCCAGACCGGCTTGTGTCGGAGAAGAATTTACTTATGGGATGTTAGGATCTCTGTCTGGGGAGAGGCGGGGGCCCCCGGACGGAGGCACCGTGCGCCGCGCCGCAGTGCGGAAACGGGGCCGGCGCTCATACTCGCTCATACTACCGACTTCCCGATTAAGCTAGGTTAATCAGAGGCGGAGGCAGCTTGTCGGTGGAGACTTGTTTGTTCACACCGGTGTGTGTGCCTTGCCTCCTTTAGGTGCTTTTAATACGTTCTGATTCTTGTGCTGATACTTGCGTCCGAGACTGCTTGCGTTAGCCCTGTGGGTTTTCTTTGTGTCGGCGTCCTGTCTCGGTGCGAGTTGTTCCCCTTTGGGTTGGACCTCATGTTCCCCTTACAGACAGCAGTCAGTGGCGGTCCGCTCACTGCGGTTTCTCTTGCTGCCGGCTGTCCGCCGAACAGAGTTTGTTTGGTTTGTCTGTTTTCTTTCTTTTCGGTTTTTTTAGCTGGCCGAGTCAACCCGAGAGGCGAGACTGCGTCACCTGTTCCCACAGCAGGCAACAACGAGTTGTTTAGTATTGCTAAAAATCTCTCTCTTAGCAGGCTGGAAGTACCTCGCCCAGGTTGCTCCTTGGTGCTTGGAAGAATTTAACTTTCGGACGAGATTGGGCATAGCACGGGAAATACGAAATGAACGGTATTCCGTGAACGGACAACGGTATTCCGTGAACCGATTTAGGCGCTGCTACGTGCTAGCGACAAGCGAGAGGCCCTGCCCATCGCGCATGTTCTCCTCGAGTCTCGCCGTTTTCGCGGATATTCCGAATTCCCTTTATTCGAACTCAATTTCCGTGGTGGTGCAATCCGACGCGGCACAAGTACGCAGGGGAAGAGAGTGTGACACTGACACACTGTGTGTGAGAGAGAGTGGGAGATTTTTAGATTATTGTTTGTTTCGATGTACGATGACGATGTTTTACAACTACAAGTACAAGTGTGGTAGAAAGAAGTAGGAATTCCATGCCTACGACGACCCGCGACACAACTATAGCTCCGACACGCACTGGCTAAGCCGTCAGCGCGTAAACCATGCACATTCATGCCAGCACATGCCCCGGAGAGAAACAGAGACTCTACTGCCGCGGCTCCACCTCCACCACGACGACCTTCCACCCCTCCCGCTCGACCTTGAGAGTCCTGCCCGTCGGCTGCAAGAAGGTGAGGGGCGGGAAGAGGACCTCCGCCTCCGCGGGGAAGGCGGAGAGCCACGCGAGGTCGGCCCCGCGGTCAATGAAGCTCACCGTCCTCACCTTGAGCAGCAGCGAGCACGGCGAGAGCGAGTAGCTCATCGCCACCCCGATGGACGTCGTCGTCGACATCGGCGCCAGCTCCGTCCCTCCCGACTCGAGGAAGCCGCTCGCCGCCTCGACGTTCTTCAGCCCGCGCCACAAGTCGACCGTCGCCGTCGCGCGCTCCGACTCGGCCTCGACTGCGCGCAGCATCGAGATGGCCTCGCGGATGAAGTTGACGGTGATGGGGAAGGCGTGCGGCCGCCGGTCGGGCGACGTGTCCCGCAGCGGCGAGTTGAGCGACCTGAACGCGGCGGTGGTGTAGAGGCGGAGGGCGAGGACGTGCGGCAGCTGCAGCTCGGCGGTACGCGCGGCCGGGTGGCGCATGAAGTCGTCCAGCCGCATCCCCCCCCCGTCGGCCGCCCGGCGGCTGGGCAGCAGCTCGCCGCGGGCGTCGCAGTCGCGCTTGAGGTCGCCGTTGTCAAACGCGAGGTCCGAGGAGCCCGCTCGCATGGTGAGGCAGTAGTGGAGGCACTCGCGGTCGCAGGCCGTGCCGCTCGCCTCGAACTCGGCGGCGATGGCGGCCACGCCCTTCGAGTAGGACGGCATCGCGAACTCGAGCTTGTCGACCCGCATGTAAAAGTTGACCCCGAGAGCCGCGTCCTTTGGCTTGCCAGTCACCAGCTGGGTCGCCTCGCCCGCGAAGCGACCCACCGCCTCCTCCTTCGCCTGCGCCTCCACCGCCGTCTCTAGGCTCCGCGCGATTTCGGCGCGGACCGAGACTGCCCGCCCGTCCTCGCGCTTGGTGAACATGTCGCTGTCGAGCGAGCCGGAGCGGCGAGAGAACTCGAGCAGCAGGTTGAGCGTCACGACGACCTTTGGGACGCCGAAGCAGACGAGGAGGGCCCAGAAGCCGGAGGGGTAGAGGTCCGAACCGATGCCGACGATGCCGGCGATGACGAGGTGCACGAAGATGAGGATGGCGTCGCAGCAGAGCACCGTGGACGCCAGCTTGACGCGCCACGAGAAGCCGCCGTCGGCGGAGGAGCGGAGCAGGTTGGGGGGCCACAGCGGCGAGGGCGCGCTGCGGCACGGCCTGAGCAGGTGCAGCAGCTCGAGGTTGCTCGCCACGATGACGGCGGTGAGCGAGGCGGCCGACGCGGCGAAGCCACGCACGACAAGGTCCTCTCCGATCCCCGCGCTGACACACGCCTCGTACCGCGACCCGTACGGGCCGAGGGAGTCGTGGCGCGTGCCGTTGCAGCTCAGCGAGTCGGGCCGCAGCGGGGTCTGCAGCAGGTGCACGTCGTCCTCCTGGCCGCCGTCCCAGCGCACCGTGCAGCTCAGCGACTCGAGATGCTCGCAGAGCCTGTGCTTGTCGCTGCCCAGGAAGGCTAAGATGCCGTAGTCGGTGATCGGCAAGCGGTTCCCGAGCGTGACCACGGTGTAGACCATGATGTAGAGCTGCAGCATCATCACCGGTGCGACACATGCGTACCACCTGAACTTGACGTACTCGATGATGCGGGACTTCTCCCTCCGCACAAGCCCGACGCTGATGGAGCGGAGCACAAACGGGAAAATCCCTGAGAGGAAGAGCAGGAAGGCCTGCCCGATGCACGACTTGACCCAGGCCGTGGTGAGGACCGTGCCCATCCGCCGCTGCGCGTTGAGGGTGGCCAGCACGACCAGCACCGTGATCTCGACGTGATAGGCGATGCCGAGCAGAGTCAGCACCACCTCGAGGCGCGACGGCCTGCCCGCAGCCGCGACTGCCGCCGCCACGTCGGCCGGGTCGTCGGCGGCATCCCTCGCCCCGACCCTCTTTTTGCTGAGGAGGTGCTCGTGGGCGACACAGACGGCATGGCAGAAGCTGGCGCCCAGCTGCGAGCAGAGGAAGAAGCCGAACATCGGCCAGATGCACCAGAAGAAGTTGAGCGTCTCAAAGTAAGCAAGTCCGGCGTCGCCCCGAGGCAGGGGAGCGACGGCCGGGACCGCGATCAGCAGCACGGCCTCGGGGACGACCCAGCACCACATGAGCTTGCGCCAGAGCTGGATCTCGGCGCTGACCTTTGCAGCCGACCAGCTGCCCTTGGCCTGCGCCTCGAGGTCCTCAACCGTCTCGGACCTCGCCGATGGCTCGAGCTGAGTAGCGGTCGATGATGCTGGCCCCGACGCCGTGCATGGCAGCATCTCCACACGCAGAGGCATTGCCGGGTGGGTACCTTGGCGCGCGCCTCAAATCATGATCGGCAGCAACTTCGAAAAAAGAAGAAAAAGCGGACGTTGGACGCCTGTCCTTCTCCGAGCCCTAGAACGGGCGGCCGTACTTTTTCTTCCGACTCGCGCGTGCTGGCACTTACACACACACGGAGACCACCGGAACCGAACGAAGCCGCCTAAGCTTCGCCACAAAAGTGGTTGCTCCGCCGCCGGACCGCCCTCTCCACCACCCTCGCCCAGGGATCTACAATGCTGTCTTAAGGTCCGACCTGTGGGCTCCGGCCTGCGCTCGGCACCGGGCACCACCTCGGTATACAAAATGCGCCTGCGGGCGGACCCTCACGATCACACCACCGCCTCAAATCAGGATTCGAGCTGTTTCCGGGGTAGGGTAGGGGCACGGTTTGGGGTAGGGGGGTAGGATGTAGGGGGGTCGGCCACCACTGGGGACGTCCGTTACATGCTCATAGGGGTAGGGGGGTCGGGGGTCGGGGGGGGGGAGGGTCGGGACCCTGCCTGCCCCCTATCCTACCCCGGAAACAGCTCGAATCCAGCCTGAATCGCCGCAACTTCGAATAAAAAGATTTCCGCTGTGCCCTCCGCGTGCGATGCCTCACCCTGGCAAAATCTCAAAGGAGGGGACGAGTCGGGGACGAGGGGACGCCTGTCCTTCTCCCAGCCCTAGAGCCATGCGCCTAGAGCGGGCGGGGTCCCTTTCCTTTTCTTCCGACTGGACAAAATTGCTAAAAATCTCAAACAACATTGCTAAAAATCTCTCTCTCCGACTGGCGCGTGCTGGCACTTACACAGGTAGACCACCGGAACCGGAGACGCCTAAGCTTCGCGACAAAAAGTAGTGTTGCGCGGACTTGGAGCACTTGGAGTGCAATCGGCAACCGACCGCACACCCAGGGCCGGGGAGCTAAGAAGCGCACCAGCGGGCCGGATGCTCGGGGACGGGTTGCGGGCAAGAGAGCCCTAGGCCTAGCCTAGCCCTAACCCTGGGGGGTGCGCGTTCGCCATAAAGTAAACCCCGTGCTCCGAGGGTTAGCTCCGCGCTCCGGGTTTCCCCAGCAGCAGAAAACGCCCCCTCTACTCGGAGCTAGTAGACACCTGACATGGACACGAACGACGCACACTGGACGGATCCCTTTATTTACCCTTCATGTCTCCTGAGTGAGTGAGGGAGGGTGTAGTCTGTAGAGGATGTAGAGTGTAGAGCGCTGTAGAGCTGTAGAGCTGTAGAGCGCTCTGGAGCGCTGTAGAGCTGTAGAGCTCTACATCCGCCGCGGGACGAACTGTCTGCGTTGTAGAGCGATGTAGAGGCGCTCTACAACGTGAAATCTCTACAACAAACTCTACATCATAAGCGGCGAACGAGGCACGGTCGCTCTCCGACATGAGGCGCGTTGCACTTGCCAGTGCTGCCCTGGCCTTCTGTCTGCCCGCCCAATGGGTGGCAGGTGCCTCTGCTGCTGTGGCATGCCTCACGGCTGCGACTGGCTGGCGCCTCGGCGCGTCAGCTCGGCTCGGCGTAGCGATAGTGGCCAGCGCAACTCGCTTGGACTCAGCGCTCAGCAGGAGCTCCCGCACGCGCTGGCGCGAGTCATGGCGCAGACAACGCGTCTGAATGCTCGCCTCGCCTCGCGCAAATGCGACCGTCCTCGCAGCCGACAGTCCACGGCCTGAAGCACAGCGACGAATGCGGCACCGGCGACGCATGGCAGGCTGGTCATGACGCAGTTATAGGGTGTTGTGTGCCGTCAGAGTGACTCTCTGTGTGTCAGGGATAGTCAGGGCCGTCCATCAGAGCTCCAGTAAGCTCGGAGACACCCCATTAGCGCGGCTCGACCTCTTTGAGTCACTGCCTTCCCGGCGGTTTGGCTGTAGAAGCTGTAGAGCCTCTACAACAAACTCTACAGCAAAATCGCGCTCTACATCGCTCTACAATGCAGGCAGTTCGTCCCGCGGCGGATGTAGAGCTCTACATCAGTCTACAGCGCTCTCCAGCGCTCTACATCTCTACAGCTCTACAGCGCTCTACACTCTACATCCTCTACACCCTTCGGTTAGGTTAGGTAGGAAGGTGAAGAACAGTCAGGCTCGGACTGGTAGGACACCAACGCGGTATGGGGTGGACGCGGGACAGATGATGACGACACGCACGAGCGACACACAGACACAAACAAGACACCCTTCCTCAGCATGTCTCCCCCTCCAGAAAGAAAACAGACACATCGCAAGAAGGATGAAAGGACGGCCGCCACGAGTTTCTTTTTTGCACGACACTGGGCACGCACGGGACTGACAAAACAAAAGTCAAAACTCGACAAAACACACCTAAAATTATTTTTTGTGCTGACGCGGGCCCAGCCCCTCGACGAGGTGACTAGGACCACCAAGAATTGGCTAGGGCTGCAGAAGCAGCGTATCTCAGTCGTTCTTCACACGGCCATCGCAGAGCAGATTGTGAATGAGCTTGCCTGCGGCGGGGGTTGGTCGAGTGCACGGAGCTAAGTGCCTCGCCGTCCTCGCAGGAGTCGCTTAGGCGGCTCCCGTGGTGTAACCTGTGTTAGTGCCAGTGCACACCAGTGACCAGTCCCGTGCCCAATAAATAAAACAGACAACCCAAGGGAGGGAGGGGAGGACGGCACGCCGCCACCACCACAGGGATTTTAAGGAGAGAAGTGCGGTGCTAGCCGTCGCCCACCCTCGGGCGTCTACCTCTTCCTATCTCTGTCCGCAGTTTCTCGGGATTCTCGCCAGGATTCTCGCCAGCGACCTTCATGCCACCTCGCGGTCGTCCCACTCTCGTCCTCGACCTCGTTCTCTCTCCTGCTGTTTCATCCTCTGACTCATCGGACATCGCTCTCCTCGGCCTCGTTCTGTACAGTTGTAGAGACGCCGCTGCTTCTCTCGCCTCTCTGTCCCCCTAAAAAGAAAGAAGGAAAGAAAATAAAAAAGCTAAGGGAGGGTAAAAAAGAAAGAAAGAAAACAGACCGGGAGGGATGGGAGGACGGCACGCCGCCACCACAAAGGGATTTTAAGGAGAGGGGTGTGGTGCAAGGGAGGGTGAGATAGGGTGGCAACTCCGCTCATGCCGTCGGACTTTTTTTTGGTTCGCGCGCGGCTGACGGAAGAAGGTCGCTCGTCAGTTCAAAAAGGGACGTCGCTGGAGCCTCCTCCACTGCCGCCCTATTTTCGCCCAGCAATGGCCGACTCCCAGGAGTCCTTCTGGGATGAAACGGACAACGCCACTCAGCTACACGCCGCGTTCGACGAGGCACAGGCGCACGCGCAGTCGAGGCCGAATGCGACCATCGCCACCGCCGCGGTCCTCTCTCCGCAGCCGGCGGCGAGGCCGAATGCGACCATCGCCACCGCCGCGGTCCTCTCTCCGCAGCCGGCGGCGAGGCCGAATGCGACCATCGCCACCGCCGCGGTCCTCTCTCCGCAGCCGGCGCTCGGTGCACCAGGGTCATCGAGCGCTAGGCCGTCGCCGCCGCGCCTGCCGCCTTCCTCCGAGGCGAGGCTCTCGCAGACTATGCCTCAGCGGCGCGTACCCTCGTCGCCCGCCGCTTCCTCCGCCTCGTTGCACTCCTCCTCCGCCTCCTCCATCGCGTCGCCCGCCTCTTCGTCTCGCCCGGGACCGGCATCCACGCCAGACAGCAGCTCATCGCTCGCGAGCCCGTTGTCGCTGCCTTCGCCGCTGCCGCTTCCCTTTCCCCTTCGGTTCGTGCTGAAGGCCGCCGGAGTGGCGAGAATCGACGCGGCGGCCCGGCGGTCGCTTCTCGACGCCTTCACGCGCGAGGGCTGGCCGGGCGTCCTCAGGGCCACCGCCGGCGGCAGGCTGCGGAACGTCAAGCGGATCGCGGTGCCGACGCCGCCGCCGGCGACCAAGGAGCCGGGCCGGCGGATGACTTGCGGCTATCGCGTGCGGTACGACCCCGAGACGGGCCATGTCGCGTGCCTGTGGCCGAGGCTGCGGCCCGAGACCAAGGCGGACCGGGTGCTCGGCGCGGACCAGCTGCTGCAGGTCGAGTTCGCGGGCGAGGGGCTGGAGCAGGTCGTCGGCGCGGGCGGCCGCCGGGGGGGCGGCTGCTTCAATTGCGGCGGCACCGGCCACTTTGTAAACGCTTGCCCGCGCCCGAAGCGCTTCAAGGCGGGATCAGGCGAGACGCCCATCGAGAAGCAGGAGCGGCTCATGGCGAGAGACGAGCTCAAGGAGAAGATCTTCCCAAGGCTTTTCCGGCTCGCTCTGTGCGACCGCACCTACGAGTTTGTCGGTGGCAAGGACGCCGGCAAGGGCGCCAGGCTGCCCGGCAAGGGCGGGATCGTCTATTTCCTCGCCGTAAACGGCCCGCCGTGCGACAAGCCGCCGTCGGGCTTTTGGACCGTTGAGGCGGCTTGGCGCGCGCTGGCAGACTTCAGGCGCTGCGCCACCGTGCCCAAGATGTGCGCGCGCCTCGAGCTCGCCTTTAGCGCCACGGCACCGGCGCTCGTGGAGGCCGACGGCCGCTCCTACCACGCGCTCGACTTGCGGGGCCGCTGCGGAGGCGTGTGGAGCCAGTTTCAGGGGTTGCTGGCGGAGGCGCTGGCGCGAGCGCGAGCGGGGAGCCGGCAGGGCGACATCTTTGTCGTCGCCGTCGACGACGTGGTGGGACGCCTCCCGAGCGGCGAGGCGGCCGTCGACCCTGCGGGCGGCGAGCACCTGATGACGGACGGCTGCGGCATGGCCTCGGCGAACGTGGTGCAGCAGATCGCGGCGGAGCTGGGCTGGACGAGCGTGCCGCTGCAGACGCAGCTGCGGGCCTGGTGGGGTGGCTCCCTCGCCAAGGGGGTGCTCAGCACGTCGGCCGTGCTGCCGCCGTCCACCATCCTCGTGCGCGCCTCGCAGATCAAGGTGGACGCGGTCGCGCGGGGCCCGCCGTGCGGCAATGGCCCGCACGCGGCGAGACCGCGGGCGAGCCTCGAGATCAATGGGCGACAGCGGAGGCCGTCGCAGGCGCACACCTCCCCCTTCCTGGTCCCGCTCCTCGAGGCGCTCGGCGGCCCACCCATGGTGGAGCTGCTGCTCGAGCTGCAGAGTGCTGCCGCCGAGCCGATGGCGAGATATCTGAAGCTCGTCAGCGAGGGGAGGGAGTTGAGCGACGACGACGTCGTCTCGTTGGCGAGGCAGGTGGAGCCGATGCCGGCGACGGCGGCGCTGCCGGGCTCGCCGACGCTGCTGGCCATGCTCATGACGCCCGGCATCGACACCCGCGACGAGCACGTCCGCTCCCTCCTCATGAGCGAGCTAAAGCGGCAGCTCGCTCAGCTGCGGCGCGGCCGGTTCGCCATCGCGGATTCGATGACGCTCATGGCGTCGGTCGACCACACCGGCACGTTAGGGGAGGGCGAGGTGGTCTGCCTCGAGCACGGCAGAGCCGCCGTACTCGGCCGCTGCTTGCTCTACAAGTCGCCTGGCATCCACTTGGGCGATGTGCGCGCTGTGCGCGCCGTGGCGCCGACGCCCGCTATGAGCGAGCACCTCGCCTTTGCGCCCGACGGGCAGCACGGGCTCATCGTGTCGTGTCAGGGCGAGCGTTCCGTCCTCGACATGATTGCGGGCTCCGACGCCGACGGCGACTGCTTCACCGTCCTCTTCAACGAGAGGCTGCTGAGCCTGCTGCCCGACGAGGCACTGCACCGCCCGTGGGTCAAGCAGGTGAAGCCGCCGCCGCCAATGGCCAGGCCCCAGCCGTCGCCGCCGAAACCACTCGCGTTGGGGCAGTCGGAGCTGCTGCGGGCCATGAAGGAGCACCTCATACGATTGAAGCAGGGCCACGATCTGGTGACGAAGACGAGCACGGCTTGGAAGGTCAACACGGACAAGCATGGGGCTCGGCACCACGACAGCCTCGTGGTGCTGGTCCATCTCAACATGGAGGCGCTCGACTCGGGCAAGTCTGGCGCGCTGCCGACGCTGCCCTCAAAGTTCCAAACCATCTCCTTGCCACCGCATCTGCAAAAGCCGCGCGGCGAGGGGGAGGCCGCGATGGGCAGGAGAGGCGGGCAAGCAGTGCGGGGCGCTGGAAGCGCGCTCTTGCGCATGTATGAGGCGGTCGAGTTCAACGTCATCACCGGCATCGTCGAGAGGCAAGAGTGCCCCCCTGTCTGGATCGACCCCGACCTAGCGCGGCTCGAGACCGAGGTGCCGCCCGACCAGCGGCGACCGTTGATGGACAAGTGGCTTGGCCGTGCCACACAGTACTCTCAGGACATCAAGGAGGACACCAAGGCTCGCGGCGGCGGCTTCGATTCCGAGGCTTGGATGCGCATCGTTGCCCACTACCGTGCCCTGCTCGTGGACGGAGAGGACTTGGGCGACCCCAGCGCCCAGCTGCGGTCCAACTGCTACGCGCTCTACGAGGCGATCTACCTCTCGCGAAGTAACGAGATGTGCGGCTGGTGCGCCAAGTGCCGCGAGCCGCCCGCGAGCCATCCGCGCAACTTCCGCTTCGTTTGGGCGGTCGCCGGCGATCTGCTCCTCTTCCTCAAAGCCACCAACCGCCGGCGAGCCACGCAGGCTGGCCTCGCCCCAGAGGCCCGCACCGCGCCCTCGATAGTAGACCCGGGCCGGTTCCATCTTCTGACGCAACGGAGAGATCGGCGCGCGATCCATCCGGACGAGACGGCGCCTGGGGAGGAGGAAGAGCTTGACCCGCTGCTCGCAGCGGAGTTGGCTGCTGGGTGATATTGCAATATGGGCCGGGCATTGTGTCGCTCGTACGTTGTAGCCCCGCGCGTGGGCCACACTCTAGCCCCGCGCGTGGGGGGTGGGGCGCAATAAACGTCCCGTCTCTCCAGCGTGTACTGGCCCGGGGTTGTGCGTTTAGGGATCCCTACGTGAAGCAGTCTTCTACACCAGATGTGTGATCGAGAGAGAGGAGCAAAGCCCACCAGGGTGCGTTTTGTTTTTTGTCTCTGCTGCGCAGCACTCTCGCGAGGGCAAGGTTTGTCCCCCACCTTTCTTTTTCTTCCTGGTACTTGGACGTGGCACGTGGCCGCACGTGGGAGTGCGGGCACACTGTCATCTCAGCCGCCTCACACCCAGGGCCAGGGAGCTTAATCCTTAAAGAAGCGCACGCAGCGGGCCGGATGATCGGGATCGGGCTGCGGCCGGGCAAGAGAGCCCTGGCCCTAGGGGGTGCGCCTTCGCAGGAGACGGAAGAGGGCCCTCGCGTTTCTTCCCGCTGGCGGGCGGACGTCGACTGAATTCTTCCGCTTGTGTTGTCCGGGTAGGCTTTCTGGCGCTTCCCGTCGCGCCATGGACAGCCTTCGGGCTGTCCTGACGCGGATGGTCGGCCTCGCCGTGCTACCTGCTTCGCTGCCCGGCAACGCGCCGGGTACGATCGACGACTTCTGTTGCGCTCCGCTCGAGACCATACGCGGCTGGCGCTTTGCGCTTGTGTGGGCGCTCACCCGACAGATCCTCGGCTGCCGCAAGCTGGAGGTGCCCGACGATACGCAGCTCGCGCGCCTCGCCGCCTCGCGCGCCCGCTACGTGCAGCGCGGCTGGGAGGAGGTCAAGATCCAGACGGCCGACGGCCTGCTCCTCGACGCGATGACGATCGAGCCCGGGCTGGCGCGTGCGAGGAGCGGCTCGCGGTACGCGCGTGGCGCGTCCAGGCGCGGCGGCGCGCCGCGGTGGGTCCTGTGGATCGGCGGCAATTTTCAAAAGTACGAGGACTGGCTGTCGTACTTTGACCTCTACTCGCGGGACGCGGACGTCGGCTTCGCGGCCTTCAACTTTCGCGGGGTGGGGGAGTCGGAGGGGGCGGTGCTGTGCTGCGACGACCTCCTCGCGGATGTGGCCGCCTGCGTCCGCCACCTGACGGAGCGGCACGGTGCGCCTCGCCGCGGGCCACGCCCTGCACGCCTCTGTTAGTCTCTCTCACCTCCGCGCCTCTCTCCTCCCTGCCTCTCTGCCTCTCTAGTCGCTCTGCCCGCTCCAGCGCCACGGGCTCCAGCCGCGGCGTGCGGACCTCTCCCCCTCCCCAAAGGCGTCACTGCCGACCGGCTGCTGCTCCACGGCTTCTCCCTCGGCGGCTCCATCTCGGCCCTCTACCTCGCCTCGCCCGCGGCGCCGCGCTGCGCCCTCGTCTCGGACCGCTCCTTCCGCTCGCTGCCGCACGCCGCGCACGCGCTCATCCGCGGGCGCGCCTCTCGCCCGCGCCGCGAGCCTTCCACCTCGCCCCCTCGCCCTCGCCCCTCGCCCCCCGCCCCCCCCCCCCCCCCCCACACCACCACCGCCCCGCTCGAACCCTGCCTCCATCCACCCCCTGTACTACCCTTCCACCGGCGTCGCCCGCCCGCAACACTCTCACCGGCCCGGCCCCCTCTCCCGCTGCAGGCCACACCGCGACCCACCGCCTCGCTCCCCTCGGCCCGCCGCCTCGCGGCCCGCCGACAGCAGCGGCGGCGGCACCGCGCTGCTCGCCTCCCTCGCCGCCTCCTTGTTGCCGTGGCTGCTCCACTGGCTCCGCGTGCTCGGAGGCACCATCGCGGTGGCGGCGCTGCGCGGGCTCGGCTGGGAGCTGCACGCCGAGGCTGCCCTCGAGCAGGTTGCCGGCCGCAAGCTCCTCCTCTACCACCGCGAGGACAACGTCGTCCGGTACGCCGAGGCGGGCCTACACGCGTCCCTCGCGCGGCAGGGCGCCCTCGAGCGGGACGCCTCCTTCCGGGCGATGGAGATCACGTCGTACGGCGCCGAGGGGTGGGCCGTGCACGACTTCCCGCTCTGCACCCACGAGCGCACATGGACCAACCTCATGCAGGGCGTCGCGTGGGCCTTCGGAGACCAGTGACCTTCTGTGTGAGCTGTGAGCTGGATGCTGGAATGGCGTCCCGTCGCAGACCCAGACGCGCGCGCGGGTACGCTGAGATCTGCATGTATGTGTTATTGCGCGTTGTGCTTGTGGCTATGTCCCTATCTGCGTCTATCGTCTATCGAGGGGCGGGGCTGCGGGCTGGGCGCTGGACACTCTTGAACACTGCGGTCTCGTCTACTGCGGTCTGCTGGCCGCTGTCAGGGCGCTGACCGCTGTGCCTGTGGCTGTGCCGAGCCTGTGGCCTCGATGCACGAATGGACGATGCCTCGTACTGAGTAAAGAAAAGCAGACATCTCCAGGAGAGAGATGGGCGACGCACGAACAGAGAGGAGCACTTGGAGTGCAGTCATCAACCTCACATCCAGGGCCGGGGAGCTAAGTCCTAAGAAGCGCACCCAGCGCCAGATGATCGGTATCGGGTTACGGGCTAGAGAGCGGTGCGCGTAAAGGAAAGCGGTTCTCATTTCTCTTTTGCCGGCGGCATCGCTGCACCCCTGCTCTCGCGCGAAGAATTGCAGGGTGGCTCGCGCCGCGAAGCACCATTGCGTGCTCTTGCCTCGACGGGCGCCCGGCGCCTCTCAGGATGTCCGGCTCCTCCACGCCCGACCTCACGTCGGTCGCCGAAGTCGGGATCGACTTTGGTGGTTTCAAGAACATAGACCTCTTCTCGCAGGGCATCTATCAGCTGCGCGTCCGTGCTACCACTGAGTGCTCCAAGCGGCAGTGCCCGCCCTCCACCTTCGAGACGGTCCGGCAGGGGCGCGCTCCTCCGCCTCCCACCGACGGCTCCTTTCTGCCGGCCCACGTCCTGGAGGAGAGCGGCGACTTTTGCCTGCCCTCCTTTCGCGTGCGCTTCTGCGACGAGGAGGTGCGGCTGACGACGACGGCGCGCTTCCGCGCCGAGCTCTCTGTCGACAGCAACCCGCGCCTGCGCGGCGCCGACGACGGCTGCGCGGTGCCGCTCGAGCCGGTGCTGCTGGAGGTGCGGCTGATGCACGCGCGCTCAAACTCGGTCTTCGACGCGGCGGGTGACGCGGCCGCGCAGTCGCGTGCCAGCTTCAAGCAGTACGCCCAGCAGACGCTGCGGCTGCAGCTGCCGCTGCGCGGCGCGACCGCCTTTTTCCCAATCACGTTTGACGAGTGGCACTTTTGCTTTGCTCCGCTGCTCGTGCACGCGGCGGTGGTCGGGCCTCCAAAGCTGCTCCTGCCCGAGAGCCCGCGCAACCCGCCCTCGCCGAGGGGGCGGGCCTCCCTCCTCCCCGCCCGCTCCTCCCGCGCCACTGCGCCGCCGCCCCCCCTCCTCGTGCCGCCTGCGCCCGGCCGCGCCGCCTCCTCCTTCCTGCGCCGCCGCGCCGCGAGGCAGCAGCTCGCGGCGGGCAGCCCACAGGCGGCCCTCGCGCAGCTGCTCGCCCTCGGGCAGAGCGCACCACAGCCGCTCCTCGCCGGAGAGCTCCAAGCGAGCGCCGCAGTCATGTGCGCGCCGCTTCCGACCCGCCAGCCGCCCCGCCAGCGGCCGCCCCGCGCCACCCTCGCGCAGCGACCAAGCCAGCGGGGCTCACCGCCTCACCGCCCTGGCCCTTCGCCGCGCCGCCCCCGCAGGCGGAGCGCGCTCGCGGCGCTGACAGCGCACGTGCGCGGCTTCATCTGGACGCTGGCGCTGCTTCGGCACCGCACGGCGCAGCTCACCGCCGCCGCCCAGCAAGCCGCAGCCGATGCCTCCTCGGAGCCGGCGCTCTGCCCGGAGGGGAAGCGGCAGGGAGGCGGGGTGCGGGAGGGAGGCGGGGAGGGGGAGGGGGAGGGGGGAGAGGCGCCGCTACTGCCCGCCCTGCCGGAAGGCGTTGTCCTCGTCCCGATGCCCGCGACCGCCGCCGCTCGCGCGCTCACCCGTGCCGTCTCGGCAGCCGAGCCCGAGCCTGGTGCGGCGCCTGGTGCGGAGGGCGGAGGCTTGGCGCAGGAGCAGAGCGAGGGGGCGGCAGCGGGCGTGGAGCCTGCCGAGCCGGAGGGGATCTCGCTGGAAGTGACCGACACAGCGGCACAGGAGGCGGCCGCGTGTGGTGCGCATCCCGGGGAGGGGGAGGGCGGAGGGGAGGGCGGAGAGGCTGGCGGGGCGGCGGGCGGCGGGGCGTCGGGCGGCGCGGTGCCGCCGGAGCGGTCCGTGGAGCTGGCGGACGAGGTTGCTGCGCGGGTGCAGCTGCAGCTGCGGCGCGGGGAGGGCGAGCAGGGGGCGGGCGACGCTGAGATGGGCGGGAGCGAGGCGCTAGCGGTCGCGGGCGCGGCGACGGCGCTGCTGCACGATCTGAGCGGCCTCGTGTGGGAGGAGTGGCAGGCGTACCTGGACGCGGCGAGGCTCGGCTGCCACTCCCTCGTCACCACCCTCTCGCAGAGCTACCTCGCCGACCGGGCGGAGCGATTCGGCGCCCGCGCTTGCCCCAACCTGCCGCCCGCGCCCGCACCCCTCCCTCGCTCGCCCGCCGCCCGCCGCCCCGTCGCCGCCGCCCGGCCTCACCCGCCCCCCGGGCTACGCGCCGGCAGGCGAGTCCCTCTTCCGCGAGCCGCGCCTCTTCGAGCAGCGGGCCTACATGCCGCAGGGCGGCGCAGACCCAACCACCATCGCCAAGGCGCTGCGCACCTCGATGTACTTTCGCGCGCTGCCGCCGCCGCCGCTCGCCGAGGTGCCTCGCGCCGCGTCGACGGAGTCGCAGTGCGTCTTCGTCGAGCAGTGGCACTCGTCCAAGCACGATTTGCCCTCCTCGCAGCGCGCCCTCGCCCCGGACCGCACCGCGGGCGGCGCCTCTTCGCCCGCGGAGCCGGCAACAGCGGAGCCGGCAACAGCGGAGCCGGCAACAGCGGGCCCGCTGCCCGAGGGAGCGACGCCGCTCGAGGGAGCGACGCCGCTCGAGCTGGCGCGGCGGCTCGGCCTCGAGCTGGGCGGCAAGGGACGCGACTACGGGCTCCGCGCGGGCGAGCTCGAGCACCAGGCGGCTCGCTCCGCTCGTGCCGCGCCCGCGTGGCCCGAGCCCGTGACTCCGCGCCTCAGCCTGTCTTGGATGCCGTCGGGCCGGTCGCCGCTGCCGCCCGGCAAGCACCACCTCTACGTCTTCGTGCACGGCTTCCACGGTACGGCCGTAGCGCAGCCTCCTCGCCCCCCACCCGCTCGCCCCCCGCGCCACTGCGACTGCTCGCCCGACCCCGCCCGCCTCGCGGCCGCAGGGAATGCGCTCGACTTGCGCGGCTTCCGCAACCAGCTGGCGCTGCTGCTGCCCGACAAGAGCTGCGCGCGCTTCCTGATGTCCTCGTCCAACGAAGACTTCACCGCGACCTCCTCCTTCGAAGAGATGGGCGAGAACCTCGCCAACGAAGTGCGCGCCTTCCTGCGGTCTGAGTCCCTCGACCAGTCCGCCGCGCGAGTCTCGTTTGTGTGCCACTCCTTCGGCTCGATCATCGCGCGCGCCGCGCTGCGCAAGCCGCAGCTCGAGGCGCTGCTGCCGAGGCTGCACACGTACATCTCCCTCTCGGGACCGCACCTCGGCACGCGCCGCCTCGCTGCCGCCAAGCGGACCCCCCCCCCCCTCCCCCTCCCCCTCCCTCTCTCCCGCGCGGGCTCGAAACCGACGCGAGCCACGGCGTCGCGCAGGCATGCTCTACACCTCGAACATGCTTGTCGAGCTCGGCGTGTGGGGGCTGCGCAAGTGGAAGAATGCGCAGTGCCTCACCGAGCTGTCGCTCAAGGACGCCAAGCAGCCGACCGACACCTTCCTGTACACGCTCTCCAAGGGAGATATGCTCGCGCGCTTCACAAACGTGCTCCTCGTCTCGTCGGCCGAGGACCGGTACGTGCCGCACCACTCGGCGCGGCTGCAGCTCTGTCCCGAGGCGATGCACGACCCGCGCTTCGGCACCGCCTTCGTCTCGATGGTGCACAACATCCTCTCGCCGCTGCAGTGCTCCAACCTCGTCCACGTCGACGTCTCCTTCCTCCCGCTCATCTCCACAAAGTGCCCGCACCCCCTCGCCATCTCTGCGCCCCGCGCCCGCCCGCGCCTGCCCCTAATGCGGCTCTGAGGGTGAGACCTGTGTGTGTGCAGGCTTGTGCACCAGCTCGACCAGGCCATCGGCCGAAAGGCGCACATCGACTTCCTTGAGCAGCAGGCCTTTCTGCAGATGTTTGTGCAAATGTATCTCTCGTACCTCGTCTGAGACCGCGGCGGCTTTCCGCACAGTCAGTCCGCAGTCAACTGTCGCGCGTGCGAGGAGCCGCGCCGCGGGGACGGGTCGGCGGTCGCGTCACGAGGCCACGACAGGTGGCTGGCGCGCGCTTTATAATTGATGGATGTGCGTCGTGTTTGTGTATCCGATTGCATGCCTATTGTGCTCACATAATCTCGCGGGTTAGAGGCCGCGGACGCGCGTTATCTCTATACACACACATTGTCTCCCCTGCTCAAAAGCTCGAGAGCAAAAAAACCGCCCGGGACATCCGGGGGCATGCAGCGTCACAACGGCAATCTCCGGCCACCTCCAAAGACACGCCGCAGCGAATCGAGCTCCGCTGAGGCGCTGTCGTCGGCGTGCAGTTCGAGCGAGCGGCGCAGTAGCGGCTCTGCCTGGTGCACCCGTCCTCGCTGCGCCAGATCTCGCCCAAGCTCTAGCAGAACAGCTGCTCCACGGCGCGAGTCGAGCGTTTCCGCCTCGCTCGCAGCCAAGCGAAGAGTCGAGCTGGGCCTACTTCCAACAGCGCCTGGGTGAAAGGTGCATCTGACACGCCCCTACCTCCTCAGCGCGCACCACTCGGCAACAAACCAAAAGTTGATCGATAGCGTCCGCCGTCCAGAGGCCGCCGTCGCACCGCGTGAGGCCGACGTTGAGCCGCCGCTCGTCGGCGAGGACGCCGCGGCACCGCACGCATAAGAGGAAGATGTCGGCCTCAGAGACGCTGCTCCTGCCGACCCCTCGACGCAGCTCCCGCCGACCCCGCCGCCCTCGCCACTCCCGCCCTCGCTGAAAACCTCGTGCCACCAGCCAGATGGAACGTAGAGGAGCTCGCCCTCTTCCACGCGGCACACGGTCGCCCGCTCCAGCGCGCCGCCGAACCTCGCAAAGTCTCGTGGGCAGGCGGTCTCGCCACTCGCGCTGCCGTCGTCCGCCTCTAGCGTTGAGCACGTGCGCGCTCCCCGCGGCAACCGCGTTGTGTGCCCGAGGAGGTTGGCCCTCTCCGGCTTCGGATAGAGGGCGGCCGACTCGTTTGGCGCGAAGAGAACGAAATGCTTTGCGCCCTCGATCACACCGTGCACGTTCTCGGAGAAATCGCGGTGTAGCGGCGAACGGGCTGCGCCCGCGCCCAGCCACAAGCCACCACACCAGCGCCCGGCGCATTTGTGCTGCAGCAGCGAGGCAAACGCTGGCACCGGGTAGTCCTCACCCAGCGCAGGGAGCACGAGGTTAGTCGCGTACAGCCGCGCCGTCGACCGGTTGCTCTGGTACGCGGCGAGAAAGTCGCGCACATGCATTGAGCTGCTGCGATCGCCTGCGACCTTGGTTAGCGGGAAGTCGACGCCGTTGATCGCTTCGCGGACTTCGTCGTGCAGCACAGATCCGAACCGCGCTTCGAGAAGCTCGTCTGTCCAGAGGTTCTTCAGTCTGCGAAGCCGATCATCGCAGATGAGCAATGGCGTGGAGGTGGCAACGTGGTCCTCGTAGAATGCCTCCGCTGTGATGAGCGACGCGTCGACGCGCGGGAGCGAGCAGTGCATTGGCTTGGCGCGCACGTTTCACTACTCGTCCACAGTTTCTCGCCTCGTACCACACAAGAGCAGCAGCAGGGCTCCGAGGCGAGCAGCGCGCCACCTCAGCCGGGGACAGCCGCTGCGCCAGTATTTCTTTCTTCACGCGTTAACAAAATCGACTTTCTCCCTCTCTTCTCTCTCTCCTCTCTCTGGCGTGAAAGTCACGCCGCTACGCCCACGCTCTCTCTCCGGCCGGATGGCACCACGCGAACGCCGGCGCTACGAGCATTTCACTGCCGCCGACCACTGATCAGCACGTCGCCACTGTGTGCACTGTCTC